CACATGGTACAAGGCTATTCACAACAGCCTTGTACCATGTGACAAGCTGTGACCAATCACAGCTCACACAGTAGTTCTCAATGGCTGCAAGAATGCAGGCAGAGAGGAGAAATGATTGCTTTTACAGCCTTTATGGATGTAAAAGAAATCAGTGTAAAAAAGAAAAAAAAAAAAATCTTCATCACCCCCCACAAGTAGTACAGTGTCACCATGGCACTGTACTGCTAGGGTGACAGTATGTATAAAAAAAAAAAAAAAAAAAAAAACATAAATAATATAAAAAAAAAATAAAAATGTAAAAAAAAAGTTTAAAAATTATAATTTTTGGTTATAAACTAATTTGGGTTATTTTTTTTTACTAAAAAGATAACGAAATAAATTTTGGCCAAGATTTATGATGAAATATTATTTATTTGCAAAATTGTATAAGAAAAACACTTTTTTTTTCCAAAAATTTTGGACTTTTCCATTTACATAGCAAAAAAAAATAAAAATCCCAGTGGTGAATAAATACCACCAAAATAAAGCTTTATCGGTCTCAAAAAAATGCTAAATAATTCATATGGGTACAGTCTTTGCATGACCGCGCAATTGTCATTCAAAGTGTGATAGCACTGAAAGCTGAAAATTGGCCTGGACAGGAAGGGGGTAAACGTGTCCGAACTTGAAGTGGTTAAGGCTGTAGTAAAGCTAAGGCCTCTTAGAGCACCCACATTTCTCAAGTGGGACCTGCCAGTAGTCCAAATTTCCTGGCCTCGTTTAGGTTCGGCCAAGGAGTGTCATTGTGGGACTTAACACTGAAGATATCCTTCCTGATCACAATGCTTTGACTAGAAGAATTTTGGAGCTGGCAGCCTTAAGGTTTAAAGAACCCTATATTTCTTTCCAGGCAGAGTAGTTTTAAGGCCAAAAAAGAAGTCAGCCCACTAGATGTGGACAGAACTCTAAGGTCCTACATTGAAGCTACCTCTGATGTCAGGTCTTCAACGTGCCTGTTCTAAGAGTTATCGCCTTCTGGTTTGTGGAGATTATCACTCTGACATATAAAGAGAAGGGGTTGGCACTTCTGGAAGGAACAGCAGCTCACTCCACAAGTAGCGTTTCAACTTCTTGGGAGGCTTCCTGCAGAGTTTCTCCAGAGACAATATGCAAGGCAGCAACCTGGACTTCTGTGCACACTTTTGTCTCTCATTACCATATTGATCCTTCTGTATTGAGTACTGTTGACTTTGGGAAAGCTGTAATCTCTTTGGCCAGTGGCCACAATTAAAATGATATTGACATTATCCCACCCTGTTATCTAGTTAATTCCCGGAGTTGGCTGATATGAACCTGTCAGGAAAATGGAAAATTGAATACCAAATACTTAATGCAATTTTCCTTTCCTGACAAGCTCCATGTCAGCATAGACTCCCACCCCAGGACAAAGTTCTAGTTCTAGTTATGCAACGCTGGCCTGGGCAGTGGGGGTCAAATTTATGAGTTAAGTCCTGATAACATGGGGGTAGGCGGGGCATACCCCAGGAGGTGGTGGACATGGAACTTGTCAGGAAAGGAAAATTGCGTTAAGTATTTGGTATTCAATTTTCTGTTTTGCTTGGCTGTCTCTAGTTTCAACCTTTTCCCCACACAGTTGTGCTGTAATTTAATGTCCTTCTGAGAAGGTCCCTGTATAATGAGGCCTTTCAATGCAGCTCCATACTCCAGCAATCGCTCTGATCTTTAGTCATGGGCTGCAAAGTTCCACTGGGGAATCTTAAAAATTAAAGAGGCTTGCTGATCACAAGATCGCCATGAGTAACCAATTATAGTTGATCACAGGAAACATTTACACACAACAATGAACTTTCCCTGCTAACTGTTGTTTTTTCCTTAATCTCATAGCCATTCTAGCATAATCTGCAGAATAAGAAGCTGTAGGATATGAAATAGCATTTGTGGTCATCATACTACTTTAATGCACTACATGATCTGCATGTAAGGTAACTGTAGCACTAGTAATAAAACAGTCAAGTACTGTGTGTGACTTCTGTGCCAACCTTTTCTTTATTCTTCAATTCATTTATAAACATGGGAATAATCGTATGCTAATGCTGAGCGAATACAATTTTGAGTTCTTTTTACCTGGCTTGTTTGAAGGCTGCAATTGCCTCCTTCCAGTAGGGTATCATATTAGACAACACAAATTTAGATTCTTCCACCAACTTTTCAGACAAAGACAGTACCTCCTCATCAAGATCTACATTAAGCAAAGAGTAATATATTATTTTCACTGCCAGCTTCATGCAACAGATAACTCTCAACAAAGGGGAACACAAGCTGTAGCTGGAATTCTTATGATCTGTACTCATGAACAATGCCTTTCTGATGCATGATGTATCTGGGAAAACTGATAATACCCAGAAAATTTGGCTACAAGCTGCATGGCACAGAAAAGCCTGTAAAGACCTTGGCACAATGTAATGAATATTAATTTTTAAATAATTATTTTACAGTCATGTTTTAAAATATTATATCTTGGTGAAATTTTCTCACCTGGCATATCAGTAACTTTTAGTCAGCCTAGGGCCAACAAAGTGTTGTAATCACACAAATGGAGTAGGGATATCTCCAGAGACCCTATAACATGCTAGACTAGCAGTGTTGCAATTAAACATCCCATTAAGGGATGTGTTAATTCAAATAATGTACCCCTGCCTGCCTATGCCTAATACCCTTGATCAAAAGTATCTATCGCTCCCAACCCCACATTCATACTTACATTAATCTAAGACCTGCAGCCTTCCGAAAGATTTACATCCTTCAGAAAAATCTTCTTGCCAATGGTTGTGCCTACACAGTAACGTCTCAAACTTTTCTGCAAGCCTTTTCTTAGTGCCTCCGTCCACAGATGGTCCTAAAACATTCTATGGGGATCCATCGTGTAGGCACGAGCATATATGTTGGCTGCAGGTTGTAAGCACTGGACAAGGCTGTGGCCATCAGTGTCAGGTAGGCCCATAGTTTCCAATATGTATTTTACCTCTGAAAATTTAGGCATTGCTTTTACATGCTGTATATTCATATCAGTCCATGTCTTAAATGAGCTTACAATCTTAGGCCTCATTTACACAGGGCTGACTCCGCTTGTGATCTGCCTGCTCGTCAACACTGATCTCCCGCTAAGCAGGTGGATGACGGGTCCATGTCCGCTTTGCTTATGGAGAGTGGACATGGACACAGCCCACTCTCCTCTATGGGCAGAAGGATGTAAACAGACCAGCTGTCTGATTACACCGGACTACCCTCTGATCCGCCAGATAAGGAGGAACAATTCCCCCTTCCGTTTGCTTTTCCAAGATCGGATCATATTGGAGGTAGGCGGGTGTAAACGGACACAAGTCCGTTTACACCAGCCACTCCAAGATGTAGGATGGAGGGTCCGATTGGGTCCGCCTGAAAAATGGACAGGTGTAACCCAATCAGAATGTTCGTGTGAAAAAGGGCCTAAGGTTCCCCTGTCTCACATGTACACACAGACACACACAAGGGCCATTTGGGTAGGAGCTAATTAACCTACCAGCATGCCTGTGGAGAATGGAGATGCAACTGGATTATCTGGAGGAAACCCACACATGCACAGGGAGAACATGCAAAATCCATGTAGGTAGTGTACCATCTGGGATTTGAGCCGAGAACCCCAGCACTACAAGCCAAAAGTGTTAGCTTTTTCAGCTTAAAATCCACAGGGAGTGTTATAACCCTAGGACCAAAAGTCTGGAAACCAGTAGGATCAAGCGGAAACAAACAGTGTGGGTAGGGTACAATAAACAAGTTACAATAGCTAACTCTCAATTATATACCAAGAGGTGTCAACATGTAGACAGTAAAGCCTTACGCCTCTATACAGCCAGCCAAAATTTTGTCAAATTTAGCAGGACAGTTTAGGCTGATGTAAGTAAGCTTATATAGGGGAAGATCCCCATTGACAGCTGCCTTTCAGCCACAAACCGTGGGCGGAGTAGGCAGTTTCCATTTCAACACGATTTCCCTTCTAGCATAGTAGGCCAAAAAGAAAACTAAGTTTGACATGTTTAGATGCCTCCATAAAACCAGTGAGTCCTAGCAGCAGTACTAAGAGGGACATAGGGACTGTATTACTGGTATCCATCACCCCTGTCCAGAAGGTACATAATTTGGAAAAAAAAAAAAAAAAAAATCAAAATGTGCCCTCTGCCATATCACAACAGGCAAGCCGTCAGTCTGCCAGGATGCATTGCAGCTAGTAGCCAAGGGGTATAGTACAATCTATTGATAACTTTCAATTGAATAAATCGATCTCTGGCAGAGATCATGGTAGGAACATATTACAGAAGGCAGTCCTCTCAGAGGGATTGACTGTCCGCATGACATTTATTATAAAGGGAATCTATTTTGGGAGTGGTCAAGGGAGACAGTAACGAGTAGAGGACAGAGGTTTAGGTAGGTCTTCCTCTATTACATACGTTCCATAGGGTAAGTCTTAAATGTTGAGAAAGTTGGGAATTGAGCAGAAATTGCGTGCCGCAGTTGTAGAAGATGGAAGAACATCAGATTAGGCAGGTTGTAAATACTTTTAAGCTCACTAAAGGGTAAGAGAGTTCCCTGTGGCATTAGACTTCGTAGTGTCTTTATGCCAAATGTAGCCCATATGACAGGATCTGGCACAGTGAGCAAGTGAGGGAGTGCAGGGCTGCCCCACAACGGACTATAGGGAGACTAAGTGGTATTCGTACTATAGTGGACAAGCTGCGTATATATTTACTAGTTTTTCAGCTTATTCAGTTTTTTTGGGCTGTTTAACACAACGCAAGTCAATGCACAACAGAGTGTGTGCTGCAGTGCACAGCATTGTGGTGTGACTGGGCTTTTAGCAGTTACTGTTTCTAATTTTAAAATATCTATTCCGTTATTGCATCAATGCTGCAAAGTTGCTCTGAAAGCATACCTGGAAAAACTTGTAATTCCTCTGTACTTTGAAACATGAAGTAAGGGCGGTGGACAAGTAATGTTCCAGAGTTACAGTGACGAGCCTGCAGGATCTGTCCCAGGGCTCCTGTAAACAGCAGGAGCACAGAACAATACCTGAAGAAAGAAGTGTTTTTGAATTTAAAATAAATCATTTCAGGATATAACAGAAGACAGATTAATAGCGCACAAGATCAGAAATTAAATTACTGTTTCACATAAAAATTAGCAGATACTTAAAGCTAAACCCAGGTGGAATGCATATGCTCTTTGTGTACTAGTTACCAATCAAAACACTTACAATACAGGCCTTTCACTTAATCTTATGCAAATTGATTAAAATTAGTTTCCACACTCCAGTCTTAATCACCTTGATCTAATAAAATTATCCCCTCCCCAATAATGCACAGAAAACAAACAAATAAGCAGGCAAAGTTTTCCAAAACTGAAAGAAAAAAAAAGTTTTGCGCTAATACTACACATGTGCAGTACGAAAAAATGTGTTTCGTTTTGGATCGATTTGTTACTAATTTTGTTTTGTTGCATTTGTGACGAAATTAGTTTTCCTTAGTTTCATTTCGTTTTCGACCACATTAAAAATTTTCCAATGGATTTGAAATATTGAAAACAAATTTGAAATTGAAAATATCGAATTGATCCAAATTCACTGTGAAGAATAGCTGGTTCTATTCTGTTCAAAATTTGAAAAACGGCTATATTCTACTTTATCCTATTCAATTCTTTTTTTTTCTGTTTTTTTTTTCTATTCTATTTTACTCTGCTCTTTTCTATTTTATTCTGTCTTATTCTATTCAAATTTCAGAAGAAGGCTACATTCTATTCTCTTATTTTCTATTCTTTTCGAAATAAGAATTTTGGAAGAAGGCTATATTCTAATACACACAGTCTTTGAAGGAAATCGGCAATAGTCAGCAATATGTTTACATTTCGAATTCGATTTCATTTTCAAAATTTGATACAAATATATTATTACGGACAAAATTTATTTTCGTTATTTCGAATTCATTCACATTCATTACCACTGTAATTCAGAAATTCGTGTACACCTGAATCTCTCTGAATAACAAAAATTTTGGCCAAATTTTGATTAGGAACAAAACGAACCACACATGTCTAATACATGCACTTTAATGTGGCAGTACATGTTATATTTATTAGACCAGTACTGTATTTCAATTTACTTAGGAGGAATTTCATGAGGCGAAGCAAATCCATGCCATAAGATGTTACGGAGGTTCAAACTTTCTGGAGAACCAATAAATATCCTCAGGACATCCATCTGGTTGTAAAAAAGAAAAAGCACAAATAAGTATGTATAATTTTATTACAGTTGTATGTTATGAAACTGCTGACTGTACAGCAATCTAAAAGGAAAGTTTAAACATGCTGTTGAACATGATCACACAAATGATGCTAGTATTTTCAATTTCCAAACTATTGCTAGTGAGCATGCCACTAAAAATCTGTACTTAGCAGTAAATTAATTACCTAACAGGGTACATTATGATGTGATCCACCAAAGTTAATTCTAAATATTCAGACATGGTATAGGATTTGCTAATTTATTATAAGGCAGGAAGCACACCTCACCAAATTATCAGTCATTTAACTTTTTTTTTTTCTGCTATGTCTCATTTACAAGAATTGCCTTCACTTCCTGACTAAACACAACAGGAACTAAGGGGAAATATCTCCAAAGTGATGTAATTCCCTCTTAGTTGTCAACAGGAAAATTTTCCTCAATTCCCTGTACTGGTGGCAGCTCCAAATGTTAGATGTCCCATCATTTTCAAACCTGTTGACAGTGAAAACCAAGAAAAACAGGGAGGAGTGTACAGACCCCAAAAACAATGGGAGGTTGTAACCTAGGAAAAGGACCAAGACACCTAGGTATAGTGCTAATTGTGTCCTTTATTTACATAAAGCAACAGGCATCACAAGCTGATGTTTAGGGCCTCACAGGATCCCTTTTTCACACAGGCATCACAAGCTGATGTTTAGGGCCTCACAGGATCCCTTTTTCACACAGGCATCACAAGCTGATGTTTAGTGCCTCACAGGATCCCTTTTTCACACAGCAAAGTGATGTCAAGAGTGCCCTGAAAGAGATCCTGTGAGGTTTCAAAAAGCTGACTTATGATGGCCGTTGCTTTATGTGAATGACCAAAAGTGTATTCCCCAACAGTTTGAACTGGGACTTTAAAGGCAACCCAAAACAGACAATAGATAATATATAAATAGATAATTTATTCCAAAGCTATGAAAAGACATTTAACATATATTTAGCAGACCAACTCTATACATTTATTGTGACAGTGTAGGTATTGACAATTTTCCCTTTTTTTGCTGCCACTATAGGACCGACGTCAAAGTAATGTCATTATACTGCATTTTCTATAGGCTTGTGTTTGAACTTTGGCATCCACATTAAATAGTCCGCTGTCTTTCCAGATGATCCCTGTGTGAGAGAACCGCCCCACTTGGGGATTGGTTATTCTCCTCCCCTCCTCCTTGTGAGTCCCTTTTCACCATCCAGCCCCTGGAGCACCAGGGTGCCACCGGTGAGCATATCAGAATAAGATTGCTTCATGCCTTTCTCTGCACAACTGTTATTCCAGAAGAAAACCAGATGGCATGTAGGTTGTAAATGTTTATATGTTCTTGATTGCACTTTTTTTGTTATGCTACTGTGAATTCTGATTCATATTTACTACATTTTGTAGAATGCCTTTCCAGCCATCTTTCTCTTCAGCATACCCCTGAGGAAAGACATGCTCTGAAAAGCGTCAGGTTTTCTGCTGAAGTTCATTCACCTTTCACTGCCTTCTGAGTTGTAGAAGGCATAACACTACATCTCAGCTCTTAGCAAGTTATATATACAGTTTATTTACTATGCTGTATGTAGGTTCTTAACATGTATATTATACGTTAAATTATGATGTCTTTTCACATCTTTGGAATAAATGATCTATTTAATTATTATCGATTGTCTTTTTTGGGTTGCTTTTAAAGTCCCAGTTCAAACTGTTGGGGAACACACCTTTCTGTATATAACTTTTGGGATGGTGGCAACCATGAAATGAACTCAGTGCTGGGTCTATTTACTTTATGTGAAAGAAGGACAAGATTATTACTATATTGAGGTGCGTATGTGAAGATCCTTTTTTTCTATGATTGCATGGTGACGCCATCCACCAATTCACTGCATGAACATTTAAAAAAAGTGTTACTAAACCCATGACCCTGAATTCACTATATCTGGTCTCCCTCAGTACACACAACATGGAAATGCAATTATTTTAGTAAATATAAACTGCTAAATACCTTTTCTCATCTGCAGTATATAGCAGTCATGTGACTTCTATCAGTGTCCAGCTGACCACTGGTTAAAGCTTGTAGGAGGAGTTTTCATTGTCCTCTGACTGTCCTATGAGGCTGCATAATCCCTGACCCTCTGTCTGGACAGTGCTGATTGGCCCTGTGCTGATCACATGCACACTCCTGAAGGAAAAAAAAAAACCTCTCTACCATCACACACTAAACTGAGCTTGTGCAGAGTGACTCCTAGAGCAGCAGATGGATTGGGGACAGTAGAAGGAAAGGATCAGAGAAGACAGGACCAAACAGCCTTTTTACACAATGAGGAAGATTAACCCCTTAGGTTTCACAGTGAGTATAACAAGCATGCTTTACTGCATGTACAGATTGATTTTACTGTTGTGGGTTTAGGAACACTTTAAAATATATACAAAAAAAAATATATACACATATAATATAATCCTGGAGGTAAGGTTGTAATTAGTTTGTTGCTAACACACCTGGCTGGGGAAGGCTGCCTTGGGAGCGGGCTGGGAACCCAAGTGCTACAAAAGAGAAAAGGGATGCGAAGCGGTGCCAAGCCATCAATAGTGTAGCAAAATTTATTAAATAAAGCAGGGATCCAAGCAAACCGCTGAGAAGTCCCCGCTGAAGACCAGATCTCGCAGAGATCTGTCACCTCCTTCATCAGCCTGACATTTACCCTAACCTCCAGGAATTATATACTCACTGCCATTAACCCTATAGTGCCCAAAGCAATTATCGGCATAGGCACATAGGCAAGGAGCAGAGCAATAAAAAGTATTATAATATAAAAAAGAAATATACACTATAATTGAAGTTAAGTATAGCTATTATTTGATATAAATGATGTTAAATATACACCCTGGCCATTTAACAGCTCCTTGGACAGCTCTCTGACAGATCTGGTCTTCAAGAAGGGGCTCCCCGGCTTGCTTGGATCCCTGCTTCGGCTTCACAGCACTCCTGAAAGTGGTACTGATGTGGACTGGACTCTGGACTGATGTCTGCATTTGGAGCTCGATTCAATGTTCATTACCAGCGATATATGTGAGTGCATAATTATTGCATTTTATACCCTTTTTTATTTATTAAAATTTGCTACACTATTGGCAGCTTGGCACCTCTCTCCCCATCCCTTTTCCCTTTCCCAGGTATTGTTGTAACCCCTCATCACTCTTACCCAAAACAAAAGAAAAATACTGGGTTTAGACATACATCAATAAAAGTTTACATTTAACTTGTGGGTAAAAATGTCAAGTTACCGAAATATAGCTACTATAAAAAGACACTTGTGCAATATTTCATTAGAATATTGAAATCTGGGAAAGTATAAGATCAGCACAGATGGTGTATTGATAAAGGATGTGTGCAAGGAAGCACTGATGGATTATATTTAGTGGTTCTTTCACTGGGAAAATGTATTGACTTACAACAGATTTACCAAAGATTGTTGCTAGCTCTTCTGATGCAAGAAGGTCTCTCAGCAAAAAGGGGCAGTCTTTTCCAACTGTTAAATAAACCTGCAAAACAAAAAGAACAGTTTAAACAAATTAAGAGGAAAACAGAATCTCCTTTTTACAATAATTAAGTACCCTTAACACAGAATCACAGACACCCCTACTATACAATGACTGAGAGATGAGCAAAAAGCCCACAATTTCAAGCTTGTACTTCTCGTTTTAAGTTGTGGTTTGACTTTCTGTGTAAACATTTTGTGAAGCATTTAAAGATTTAAAGGGGGTTTTTTAAAGATACAGAACCATTATATCAGATTGTTTACCTTCATTCATTCCTGGGCAGCTTTAGCATCAAATTTAGGTAAAAATGCTGTAGATGTATGTAGAAAAACAAAAAGGTATGCAGGAGCTAGTCCTAGATATGTAAATATGTATAAAATACACTTGTGATATCAAAGCAAAACGATACTCACCTTGAATCCAGCGATGGGCTTTCCCTGGAAATCCGCACCAGCCGCTGACATCTTTGAGTGGCTGGTTTAATGGTCTCTATTGCAGGCCGCTGTCCTTCGCCAGGCTGAGATGATGTCAGTTCTGTCAGCTGCAGCATTGCTAAATTTGTGCAGTGACACGGGTGGACAGGCAGGTAAGTAGTTTAATGCAGAAGAGACAAAGCAGGCCTCTTCTGCATTCAAAATCCTACCTGTCTGTCCATTTTCATTTTCTAGTGTAAAGTTCCACTGTAAGATCAGAGACATATTAAGGCAAAATAGGGCCCTAGGCAAGGTAGCCTCTTTGGTCCTCCACCTATCAATTAACATTGATTGCAATAGGCACAGAGAAGCTACCTCATTTTCATTGTCTGTAGTGTCATGGTCCGATCACAAAGTGACAGGGAGGTGCACACCTTTAATCAACTGCATTATCCCCTCTTAGTTTATTACAAGAGCATGAAGATTTTAGGTGGTCCTCCTATACACCCAGTGAGCAATAGGCTCATGCCAAGGTTGCTTTGTAGCCGATCCAGCTCTAGGAGAGGTGAAGTATTTATTATACACTGCTTTTTGACTATTTAAGCACTGTCTGAATGGAGTCTATGTTCCCCAAAAGGTCTATCTGTTTTTTTCCTGTTTACTGTGGTTTCTTCTGTGAGGAATGCGGATGTCAGACCCCTGCCTTTCTCTCAACTCGTGACAAAGGACTGGCCAATCTCACACTGCGCTGTCACTTATATCATAATGCCACTCTCAGCTTCACCCTGCACAAACGTCCAACTTTCCAACTTACAGGACCACAATCTAGGTGCCAGCAGCTTAAGAGCAATTGTCACTGGGTTAAGTTAACTAAGCAATTAACTCTTTAAGCTACCACCACCACCTTTTTACCGAGAAGGAGGAAACTAACAATCTTAGCAATAACAACTATGATTTTAAAATAAACGCCTGCAACACACACTGGTCACCACAGACAGGTATATTCAGAGGATTTATAAAATGTTTTTTTTTGTAATTTTAGTTTGCATTAGCGCATTTAGGCTACGTTCACACTAGCCTTGTTAGCAAGCAGCAGACAGGCGTTTGGGAAGCGGTTTTACCATTTCCCAAACGCCTGGGAAAATTCTGCACATTGCAGCACATGGTGCTGTTCAAACGGGAGCGTTAGCGTCGCGGCAAAATGGACGCCTCTGGTCGAGTCCGGAGGAGTTGAAGCCTCCTATTCAAGTCTATGGTGCCGCTCTGCAAACGCCCGGCCGGCGTTTGCGACACGGTTGCGGGGCGTTTGCGGAGCGTTAACACCATTCAAACTTCATTATAGGCATTTGTGGGGCGTTTTTAACGCTTGACAAACGTCTAGCAACCGTCGCTAAACCGCGCATACGGAGCGTTAAAACACTCCACAAACGCCGGACCAACGCTTGTAAAACGCTATAGGGGCATTTGGCAAGAGTTGGAAAAACAATCAAGTGTGAACGAGCCCTTAGAGACAAATTTCAACACTTTTCAAAATAAGTTTTAACATCACCTCTACAGTTTTTTTTTTTTTTTTGCACTATAAAACAAAAAATGACCGACAATTTTGAAAACAAAACAAACATTTTTGACTTTTTGCTATAAAAACATCCAGTAAAAAAAAAATTACATTTCTTCATAAAATTTTGGCAAAACTGTATTTTGCTACATGTCTTTGCTAAAAAAAATCCCAATAAGTGTAAATTAAATGGTTTACGTGAAAGTTATTTCACACTGGGGGGTAGAACCGATTAACTGCCACTGACATCCCAATGATACGAATACAGTGATCAGTGCAATAAAAAGCACTGACACTGTACTAATGACACTGGGCAGGAAGGGGTTAACATCTGGGGCGATCAAAAGGGTTAACAATGTGTTGTGTGTGTTTTACTAGGGAGACAAGCTGCTGTGTATTTCTCTGCTGTGCAGAGAAATACACAGCAGCATGTCCTTGCTGGCAGAGATAGAGACGACCGGTGTTGTTTACCACATAGGTTCTCTCCCTGTCAGTACTCAATTATTTTATTATTATTATACAGTATTTATAAAGCGCCAGTAGTTCGATCAGCGCTGTACATTACAAAGGGGACAGAACATGTGACAGAACAATACCAATACAATGCAAAACATGAGGGGATCGAGGGCCCTGCTCTTTCGAGCTTACAATCTAGGAGGGAGGGGATAGTGGTACAGGAGGAGATAGCTGTGGGGGGAGGATGGAGTGGTAGGCAAGAGTGGAGGAGGTCGGGCAAGTTAGCAGGGGGTGGAGTAGGCTTACAAAAAAAGAGAGGTAGTTGAAAAGAAATTCACAAAGAAAGCGGCCTACATTATGAACAGAATGTGATACTCAAAAAAATTTCCAAAAATTATGCTTTATTTACACATACAAATTTGACAATATGGGCAATCGCCCTGGTTTAACCATCACCTCAGTATGAGACAATACACACAGACCTAAAACCATATAAAATGACACCTAGTACCGGTCTAAATACCTGTGCAAAAAGGACAATGACTACAAGAGTCTAAAGTCCCTGTGGCACTGGCGCATAGGTGAACACACTTTCCCAAAGGAGGTGTATACAAAAAATTATACCATAGGTATAACCATAACACGTGTTTATAAATATGTAGACTATGCTACTTACCAGAGTGGTTATATCCCAAAACAGGGAGTTTCAAAAAATTATAATCCCATAGATATAAATATCACATGTATGCAGTACGGCAAGCACAGTAAGCGTCAAAAAGAAGGCATGCCTCAAGGCCTATATGAAACAAAACATAAATGTCATGTAAATAATGCAGTACATTCCTATGCCGGCACAAGTGGTTGGGGCCCATTCATCTGTGATTATTACCAGCTGTTTCCTAGGGCTGCTCTGAAAAAATATGCCCCATTTTTACCAGGATGGAAGGGTAGATGCATAAAGCAGCGCACTGCTTGAAAAGGTTTCTTCACCACTATATGTGGAACTACATACCACTTTCTGTGAGAAAAACAAGACACATCCCACAAGGAGGAAGCCATAATTTCACATGCCATGAGGCAAGCCTAGGCAGCACAGGCGCCGAGAAGAGGCTGGCAGCCCGCGGTTATATCGGCGGATGTCAGCGGTGGGCTCCCTGGCCTCTTTGGCCTTGTATGGCAGTACCTATGAAGGATATTCTTTCCTCTCCTATCATCCATTGCACAGGTGTTGAGTGGACTGTTGCGGGACATCTAGATATATGGTCCTATTAGTGACATATATGACCTATATATCCTATATAGAGTGTAAGCTCTTTCAGTGACTTTCCACATATTGTCTTGTTTTCACTACAGGATGGGGACATCATGGTGCCTTGTATAGGAAACAAGATATACCACCAGTGTATTTCAACAGGCAGAAGATCTATTGGGATGTGTCTTGTTTTTCCCTCACAGAAAGTGGTATGTAGTTCCACCATAATAGTGGTGAAGAAACCATTTCAAAGCATAGTGAGCTGCTTTATGCATCTACCCTTCCATCCTGGTAATAAATGGGGCATATTTTTTCTTCAAGAGCCCTAGGAAACAGCTTGGTAATAATCATCAGATGAATGGGCCCCAACCACACTTGTCGCCCTGCATAGGAATGTACTGCATTAATTTACATGACATTTATGTTTTGTTTCATATAGGCCTAGAGGCATATGCCTTCTTTTTGACGAGCATACTGTGCTTGCCGTACTGCATAACATGTGATATTTATATCCTATGGATATAATTTTTGAAACTCCCTGTTTGGTATATAACCACTTCTGGTAGTAGCATAGTCTACATATTTATAACACGTGTTATGGTATACCTATGGTATAATTTTTTGTATACACCAACCTTGTGGGAAGTGTTCACTCTATGCGCCAGTGGCCTACCAGGGCACTTTAGACTCTTGTAGTCATTGTCCTTTTTGCACAGGTATTTAGCAACCCGTACTGGTGTCATTATTTTATACTGGTTTTAGGTCTGTGTGTATTTTTTTTTTTTTTTTTTATTGTCTCATTACTGAGGAGTTCGATGGTAAACCCAGGTCGATTGCCCATATGGTACAAATTTGGTATGTGTAATAAAGCATATTTTTGGAAATTTTTCTGAGTATCACATTCTGTTCAAAATGTAGCTGCATTCTTTGTGAATTTCTTTTCACAACCTCCTCCTTTTTTTGTATGCCTTTTTTGCGGCTACTGAATGGAGACCATTTACTGGGTGATGATACGGTTAATTTATTGTACGACCTCTTAATAATTATCTTTAACAAATGTATCTTTTGGGTTTCTTATGGACCGATGTCTCATAGAGGTTATCTGACTTTTTACTGGAAATTTGTGGTTTCGCCACTACCTCAGTGATGAGTGTTTTATTTTTTTTAAGGTGGCTGGAATGTATTGATTGGAAGGGCTTGTAGTCATGGCATTTATACCAGGAGAATAGAGGTTGAGTTGGAAACTGCATCAAGCCTTTGCAGCAGAAGGCCCAAGTTTTATCTACTGAAGATGAGGACATTAAAATTAAGTTTCGGGAACATAAAA